TTCGTGCTAAGATGTTAAAGGGGGCTCTACCACTGTTAAATTTATGAGCACATGTTAGTTTATGTGCATATATATTATTCTATGTGCACATATTATTTTATGTGCACATATTATTCTATGTGCACATATTATTGAATGTGCACATGTCACGTGCCGCACGTACCGACGGCGGTGCGGTCGTCGCAGAGTGCGCAGAGCGCGGCGCGCGCGGGCGCGGCGGCGCAGCAGAGATGGCGCGCGGGGCCGCGCGTCGCCCACACGTGCAGCGTGCCCTTGTCCGACACGCAGCACACTAGCGACGCGTCCCCGTTCATACTTATACTGTAACATATATTACACTTTTATAGTTTACTAGCTGTTGCCCGCGACTCCGTCTGATTGGAATTAAAATATAACCTATGTTACTCAGTGATAATGTAGCTTTTAAATGGTGAAATAATTATTGATATCGGTCCAGTAGTTTTTGAAATATTTAAATACATAAAAAATACAAATCTTGTTCTCTTTCTAATATTCTATTGTGTACTTGCTGTTGCCCGCGATTCCGTCTTAGTGGAATTAAAAAAAAGGAAGTAGCCTGTGTTTTTACTCTATGGTTAGTTCTGATCTGTGTAATAGTTTTATAACCTTTGACTATTATGTACACTATGATCTGTGGGCTCATATTTAGTAGTTACTATAATAGAATTATCTCACACTGCTATCTAATCTTACTAATATTAAAATGCGATAGTTTAAATGGATGTTTGTAGCCTAAACTGCTGAAGGGACCTCGATAATTGTATTAGAAGTATGAATACAATATTCTGGAGGAACATAGGCTATTTACTTATATTTTTTAAATTCATGCGGACGGTCCGCGGGCGAAAGCTAGTAAATCATAATCTTACATACAAACCAACATTCTAGATAGATTAAGAGTTAACATAAGCGTGTTATCTTACCAGTATACATCAGCGTAGTCAGCGCCGCGCCGTAGTTCATGCAGCATCAATTTGGTGGTGGTATCCCAAAGCCTGATGATGGTGCCACGCCGCGAGGCGGTGGCAAGCCGCGCCCCGCTCGCCGCCACACTCACACATGCCACCTCCGACTGGTGGCAACTCACCACGGAAGGTGACCGCGATTGTGAACCCCGGACCGCGACTGACACGTCCTATAAATACAAGCGGGCGCTGAAATATCCGGTACATTCCCAGAGTATGCACAAACAAGGACTTGTAGACCGGTAACTATCTTAATAAGTGGTTTTTCGTTATAAAAATCTTGCAAAAACATGTTCGCGTTTTTTTTCTATATGGTGATCCATCACACAGGGTAGTTTGGACATCAGTCCCCTTCCCAAAAGGGAAATCAATAAAGCCGTTTTTATTTTATTTATTATTGCTTTCAGTTGCTTGTTTTTTTTT